TGAATATTATTCTTGCCCAGTGTTTTGTTTCTGTTATTTTAGTTTAAATTCACATGCCTGTTTAAAGGGGACTTATTGAAAGGAGCCCTCGTTTTTTGTAGTAAAGTGTTATATACAGTATAACAAAGAGAGGTTTGTTCTTTAATTTTACTCCTAATTTTTTTTTTTTATATCTTTTTTTCCAGTGCGCCATCCGCATTTGTTTAGTTTGAGTTAAAAAGAAGACAATGGATAATAATAAAATGTTCGAATTAAGGCAACAAAATGAAATGATTTTCATTCACCGGGAAATAATCGGCCGTGTTACGTTCCTACTTTTGGAGAAACATCAACATGTATGAGTGTGGGGGTCCCCTCGTGATGTGACAAAAGGGTTCGGGGGTACACAAGACAAAAAAGGTTGGCAACCACTGGTGTCATCCCCCTGATGGCTGGGGTGGATCACTGAGATCCACCCTTTGCTACCTCACCTATCACAGCCCAGCTAAGTAAATGGGGGGTGTATCGATCTTGTAGGCCATATTATTTAGCTCAATCATTTTTTTTTTCCCATACCTTCATCCAGAGCATCAGAGGCCTCCGCTTCTCTCCTCCTCCTCACGGCTCTTTGTTTCTCTTCTAACCTTTGTTTCTCTGAATTGGCTTCGTCCCATCGCCCATCTTCCATCAGCCTCTGGTCTGGCCTCAGACGACTGTCGGTCACACCAACTCCGTCTTCTGGCTCGTTCAGGGTCAGCGCCAGCGCTGAGAAGTAGTACATGTTCTCAGCATTCTCTCTAGGAGGAAAAATAGAAAGAGCAGCATGTTGAATTGCTCACTAAAAGTGAAGATTCAGTGCGGCTTAATGAGACTCATGAGAAATGCTCTTACGGGGGAGAATACTTCTTCCACAAAAGTTTGGGGGGCAAGGTCTGGTAGATGGTCTTCTGCTTGCCTTCTGATCCACTCCCACCCCGGCTGCTCTGAATGATCTTGGCACTCTCAATTTTCTCGTCCCACGTACCAGACAGGATGTAATGAGCTTGGCCAACACAGTCAGCCACCACACCTGTTACCTGGAATGACGAAAACAGATATCTCGCTTTTGACATGTATAAATATCATCAAAGAGGAATAACACATGTACAGCAAGTTATAGAATGAGATCAATAAAATCGAACTGTATTACACTCATCAGACTTTTTATTGGGTATTATGGCCAATCTAAGTTACAATGCAAGAGCTGTATCAGGTCTGTCTCTGAAAAAGAAACGTTGAAGAGTTATTTTACGTAATGTAGAGTATGCGTGTATACAGTTTTGACCAGTGACTGTAGCTGTATTACAGCTCTTTTCAAAATTCTCATGAAGCTGTCAGTATTCTCCAGCAGGCGTCAGTTTCACACAAAATCATCACTCGGGCTACTACGCCATGCATCATAGTGTTGTCAGCATCTTGCCTGCCCTATCCTCCGGGGTGACTGGTTCACCGGTCGCATGCTACTACCACTCGCAATTGGTGGCTAACCCCATTGACGGGTGGTGGGGCTTCTTGCTTTCCTTGGGGAATTGGGGGAGGGACAGTGGTGGTTGGCGGGGGGG